GTATGTGCGAGCAATTCTAATCTCTTTGCGGCGCAAAGCCAATACCAGTACTTGACTGCTACTGTCATATTAGCAAAATCCTGTTTCAAAAAAAAATGTTATAAAAACATGTTTCTTACTGTATTTGTTTAAAGTCGGTGTGATAATAAACTATGCATTTTAACTCAACATTTCTGCTAGAACCCCTAACAATGCCATAAGATCAATAAAAAAGTTGTGCTTGCAACTACAGTATGAACTCTATCTACAAAATGTATTCGTTTCGTAAATTCCTTCGTAGGTAGAAAACTCCGTAAGTAGGGACACATTTTACCTGTAAATGCCCTAATCCGGTCTAAGCCCCTACAAAACGGACATAATATTTGCTTAAATTATAATATTGGTTAAAACCCGCAACAAATACATGTTAGAATTAAATTACGGCATAATAAATAAAGAAGGTACATATGGAAAAAAGAAAGAACAGAGAAACACCGAAGAACAACTACGAACGATATGTTTGTTTATCTTTGGCGTTGGGTAGACTAGACTAAGCTAAACGAAGACCGCAGACAGCTGACCGCTAAGAGAGAACGTAATTTTCGATAATGAGCACACACACATGCAATTCAAATTTTTTTATTGTATCATCGTCTTCTCACTAAATTTCGATATGCCCGCGGGGAGAAACGGGTCAATAGTTGTAAAGATATTGTAATTGTAAGATAAACAAATATCACTGCACATATTTTTAAGTTTTCGGTTTTCGGCCTTTCGTATGTAGAAAATCTTACGATAACCGAAGCAATATATTTATACAATAAGAAGTTTCGTAACTTGGATTTTTCGTATCCAGAGCCTTTCGTAGCTAGAGTTTCTAGGTGCGGCCCGCGGCTTCACCTAGTTACTTGTACCTGGCTCTCCTGTAATAAAGGTTGCACACCCCTGGTATAAGTGTATAATCAGTTTCTAAATTGATACAGTTTCTGTATATGCATGGTTTAATGTTGATTTTTTGTCTGCGGTAATAAAGACGGTAAATATTTTTAGCTTGATTTCTAGTTGATAACTTTTGATATAGAACAGTTCTTAGTAATAATAAATTTGTTTATAAATTTTCATGTTTGCGGAATATCTGATATCACAACAGGTCGAGTACTACTGATAGTGTATAGCCAGTTTCTAAATGAGTAGGCTACAGTTTCTGTATGCACGGTTTAATGTTGATTTTTCGTAAAACTTGCATAGTTTTTGCAATACAAATTTAATATGTGTCTGTTCAAGGAACAGTATACCAAATTTGAAAAAATAAAAGAAAAAATTCATATTGTATAAAAAATATATATATATATATATACATTGAACAAACATGGCAGGTACTGATGAAATTGACACCGAATCTGTTTAATTATTTTATTACTTATGAAATTGTATTGGTGCCTCTGATGACACCCCAAAGGTTTATCATGGCATCCCAGCCATACACAGAAAGCCTCTTTTATTTATAAATCTATGCATATTTTGTGCCTTCCTCTCTTTTATCTAACGCGTGTTAATATTCAAAACGAAAAACCTTTACTGTTCGTCACGTGTAATCTACCAGTTGTTGGGAACTTTTTGGATTGTTGCAGGTAAAAAACGGCGGGAAGTCAGTTGGTGAATGGGGCGAATTCCATGTTAATAAGTACAGTCGGATTTCATGCGGAGGAGTAAAGAACACTGCTGTCGTGGAAGCAAATGACTGGGAAAAGAGAGTCGAAGATGATGTTTTTGTGTGGACTGCACCCAGTGAATGTGATTTTTCTGCATCGTTTTATATACCTACGTAAGGAATATTTCATAGTCTTTGTTTTTACATACTGCAATTGAACACATACATATACGGTAATAATTTAAGATACCATAACTGTATTTTAATAATACATCTCATGAATAGTTGGGTCTCTAGCCAAAAGAAATTTTATATAATGATCGTTTTATTAACTTTTACCATAGTTATCGGTAGATGCTATGTGATCTTGAAAAAAACGAACGTATTTTTTAATATCATTACTCTATATTCTAAGCAAACGTGCTGTTGATATATTTTATGTTTTTAATGCTTTTGCAGGGTTCGAGTGATTAAAAACGACAACGAATACTCGCCTAAAATGGTAACGCGTCTGGAATGTATTCAAGACACAAACGACCCACATGCGATGCCGGAAATGTATTCAGGAGATGCATGCACCAACAATCACACTAAGATTCCTACAAGCAGTAGGAATTATTTTCATATAAAGAATATTTTGATATATATATAATTATTTGATTGTTCGTGTCATAAGAGACCACTGCGACTTTAGAAAAGAGCGAAAGACTATGTCGTGACAGTGAGATAAATTGGGAGATATCTAAATATTAAGCAGAATTAAAGACCTAATACACCGGTAAATAAACTATACCTGGACTGTGCAGACCAGTTCCGTATTATCGGATTTTCTCTCCCTAGCTTTAATACGAGTAAAAGCTTATTCAATCACAAACATTTTATTGATCATGCAATATTAATAAAAAAAATCATATTTAGGAACAAAATTTGTTTCCGAGAAAAAATATTCATATTTTTAATTTATTTTTAAGATTAACAGATACTGGGTTTGAAACAGATTTTGGGGGATGGTGGAATGAACCAACAGCGGCATTGAGATGGACAAGACAATCGGGACCAAGTCCGTCCCCTCAAACTGGTCCAATGCAGGCTATTGAAGGAAGTGAGTGTTTACGACCATCTTCACGATTTTATAAAACGAATTGAGTCATTTGTGAGAAAACCTACATATATATCGATCGCACAGGTGTACATTTTCACATGGACCTAGATTGACACTTTCTACAGTAAAAGCCTAACCAAATCATCGTTTCTTTATATAGAACCAGAATAAATGCCTAATCTTATACGGCTACCGGGTGCGAAGTAGATATAAATCGAGATTATAATTTTTATCCCGGTAGGCCGATTCGATAACATTACGCTGTTGTAATCATAATATAGGGATCATCACATAGGGATATTTCAAAGCATCAACGACGAATTATATTTCTTCAGAATGGTACATTCATGCTGAAGGAAGCTATCCAGCTAGACCAGGAGAGCAAGCAATATTAAACAATCCACCCGGACTAGAAGGTTGTGCTTGCGTCAGAATAGAATGCCATATGTTCGGTGGACCAGGATTAAGATTCGACTTCAAAATCAACGGTGATATTTCCTTCAGTCATGTCGTGTCTCTGGATGAGTGGATCCGTGCTTATTCGACTGTAAATGTTCCTGGTGGTGCCTTGGTGAGCGTCTTGTGTTCATTTTATGTTTGCTATCACAAAAAAGACCTGGACAAACGAATTGATTGCAATAAAAATCTGTTCCATGGAGAAATCGCTTCCGCCTGGTTGTTCGGCATCAGCAGTCCCATGTCGTCAATTTGGTACAACCCGAGTTATTTACTACTGAATCAGTCAAATTTTGAACAAGTTCAATTCATCTGAAGTTATCGATATAGGCTCAAAATCTACACAATAAAAATTGATTTTGTGAATCAGTTGGAAATCCACATTATTTAATATTCTGATCCCAAAGTTATATTATAAATACCAAACAACAAAATAGCATTCTCTATATCGGTAATGTGTGTGATCTGTTAATGAGTAGAAAGCATCTTTTGATGTTTCTTCGTCAATTTCAAACTCAAACCTCAAATAACAATTTTTTTTTTAACTGTGATCCAACTCGTTATTTGTGAGCTAATATCTTATAAACACGTACAGATCAGGTTGTTAACATTCAACTTTTCATAGGTCCAACTTGTCATGACAAGAGGAGATGATTTTCGAGGTGATCTCGCAATTGATGACATCACAATAGAGCCTGGAATGTGTGCCGAGGACGTTCGTCTCAATAAAGTGCTTTGAATCATTTGAATGCATCACGTGAATTTGCGATGGAAAAATGTATTAAATTTAAGCACAAGAACATTTTGTTGTATTAGTAGTATTTATTGTTGTTGAACAGACACAGCAAACTTTTCCATAATTTGTAAGCAAGTCAAACCTAAATGTAGTTGCTAATGTGATATAGTCAGTATTTCCATGAGAGTAATATTACAAATATTTACTACCCTCTGGTTTCAGTGCGTAGTCCTCGCAATGCCATTCGTAGGATAGAGATAAACGCTGTGAGTAACTAGTATAAATCTTAATAAATTTAGGCAATATAATGTATGGACGCTCATTGTACACAAAACTTCCCTTGTTGTGAAATGAGGATCCAATACGACAGTGTTCATAATTTTCAGATTGCCATTATATCTTCAGTATTTTATCTTGTTATTTATGAGTGGCCTACACTACCTCTGTTGGACCGAATTAAATATTTTCTATAATCTATAGCAAGCTTTGGGGAAAAGCACGTCGGAAAGTCAGATCAATATTATATGGCGATTTGCGGGCACGCCATAACGAAGAACGCAGCGCTCTCATAGCGCAAAATTACCAACAGTCTTCGCCGAGTTACTGTCAGAGAAGGCCGCCGCCAAAGCAGGGTTGCCAGATCCCAGTGATGAAAAAAAGCCAAATTAAGACGAAAAAGGCCAACAATTTTACTAAGTAGGCTACAAAAGCCCCATGATTTGATGCTACCATGGCGATTTCCACTTCAGCGAGATGACGGGTTTAAAAGTAAAAATGATGAATTGAATGACAGCACCAGAATGTACATTCGACATAATACAGTTAAGCTGACATCCATATGTAAAAGTTAAAAAAAAATCAAAAAAAAAATAAATATTAATCGGACAGCATTATTCAACAATTCAATATATACACAGGGTGCCGATTCAGTATGTGATATACCTTAAAACATTCTCCCTAAACATTTTGAAACCATCAGTTTTATTAAAAAAAATTATCGAACCACGTGCCGCTTACAGGTGTACTGATAGCTTATTTTAGCCAAAGTGACTATGTCACTTTGTACCTAACCATTGCAAAATTGTCGGTGCTCATTTTAACAGTGGTTTCGCGATTTGGCGCCTGTAAAGTGGGAACAATATGTTCTTTGAAAGTGCTAGTAAAGAATTTTAGCCTAGTCTATCACAGCTATTTCTACACTAATTTTTGATTACTGCAACTAAACTGAAACTCCTAAGAAGACAACGTGATCCTTGAATTATTTAATATATATTTAAATATCCGAAACACAACTGGAAACTAACAAATAGATTTCAAAAAACGCGAAAACGAGGTAATGTTCACCACGCCTGAAAATCTATCTGAAAGACAAAGTGTCTGAGCTGATGCGAAAATGGGCATTGTTACGTCCCTTTTTGCATCTTGCTGATTGGCTTATGTCACGAAGTAAACAAATAAGTCGATGCTCGGGAAAACACCTGCTGAGTCTTCTGTGGGCCAGAACTGCGAAATTGCTCTGAAACCATTGTAAAGTAAGGGATCCTAAATTTACCTTATTACGTCAAACGTCACTCTGAGGTTAACCGGTTACGGTATGTTAGTCGTTGCCGGTTACTGGTGTGTTTCACTGAAATTCTACTGTCTATATATTTGCCCATATGCTGGTACCGTATAATGTTAGGTTTCCTTCATGCACGACGTGAATAAAATATCTGAATCCTAGGAGATCCTCCGCTCTGTAGGATTAGTTTTTTTTTAGTACAAAAACGTCATAAAAAATCATGTCGGGTATCTGATTACTGGAGTATGGGGTTAGTTAGCCATTCTGTGCCGTCAGACCGTACCGGTACGGTCAGACGTAAATGTCGAAATGGCAGGTAAAAAGTCTGCATTTAAAAAGTAAACATACATTTCTGTACTGCAGTGACTACAAACATCAGTAGTTCAGTGAACGTTCAGTAGTTTATAGTAGTAGACTACCATATGTATTTTAATATAGTCTAACTGAATCTGTGAGTGGTTCACAGAAACAGAGTTACCTTCTAAATTATACTGTTATGGTATCTATAGTTATAGGAAATATTATAGATGGAGGCTACATCATCTGATTATGAAGACCACAGGAAGAAATGGGACAGAGATGAATATGAAAAACTTGCACTGGAACGACTGAATGAAGAGAATGAAAAGTCTGAGGAATTTAAAGATAAACCTGTGAAAAGAGATTTGTTAAAAGCAAGAGATTATAAAGTTGATTTAGATTCCAAGTAAGGCTTTTAAAAATCCAGATTTCTTGTTATTCGATATGTACAACTCTCAGTTCCAATGCGAACATTTATATGATTTTTGTGCTTTTTGTTTTTTATGCTGAAGACTTCTGTAATGACTCAATTTTATAATTAATGGCATAAATATAAATAGAGCATATCAACATATATGTTAATAGGGATATCGTACCAGTTTCAGACTCAATTGCTCACATTTTAATGCAACTCAAAATGAAATCATTACTTTTGTCACTTGTTAGTGGTTACAATGCTGCAATGTATCGGTACTATCTTGCATATGATTGAGTGACTCTTAATTCTTTGATAATTTTGTCTATAACTGCGTTTGAAAAGTAAAGAACTCATTGGTATTCATTTTTGTAATTCTAATGCAGACTCAACAAATCTGTCGTAATCAGTAAAACAACAGCAGCTGCAGATTGCGGAGGATATTATTGCAATGTATGTGATTGTGTTGTTAAGGACTCAATAAACTTTCTGGATCATATTAATGGTAAAAAACATCAACGAAATATGGGAATGTCAATGAAAGTTGAACGTTCCACGTTATCCCAAGTGCAAAAAAGATTTGAAATGAACAAGAAAAAAATGGAAGAAAAGAAGAAGCAATATGATTTTGATCAAAGAATGAAGGAACTAAAGGAAGAAGAGGAAAAAATGAAAGCTTATAAGAAAGAAAAGAAAAAGAGAAAACGAAAAGCACAGGAAGAATTGGAAGTGTCGAATGATGACTCTGACATTGCTGCCATGATGGGTTTTGGAGGATTTGGTGGTGGCAAGAAACGATGACAGCTGGCTTGCACAGTATTTTGTGGTATTTTCAAGTACACAATTCCAGATATTGTGGTATAAAATTTTACAGTTTACTTTTTTATTCTCAAATATTCCTTTGATCAGAAGTGCTGGCATTTTTAGGTATTGTTTTTTTTTCGAAAGCATTGTACAAGCATCACAAATTTTCAGTTTCAACATTTCCTTTCCAGTTTATTATACTATACACTGGGTCAGAAGTCATATAGAGGTAGAGTATTTTTTAATTCGTATGACCTATAACATTTTTATCCTAATGGAAAGGAAATGTTTCAAATTTGTGTGTTAGTTCGATTTGACAAAGCCCCAAGTAGAACGCTTCAGTGGCTCATGATAGATAAATATGGAATAATTTAAGTTTATGAATATTCAAACTATTGTATCACTGTTGTGGATGTAAATAATCTTAGCTCTTTTTTTTGGAATTGACAATGGAAATATACCCGAGTATTCTGATGAAACAGTCTTTACCAAGTAACACTTTTTTACAAATTCTGATGTTTTTAATTTATTGTCAGTGGGTTAAATATGTATTCTATTATGTTTTTCAATATTTGGTTGAGAACAATCTGTTCAAAAACTGTGATTGAATATTTTGGTGTTGTATCTAATATCTACATGATATTGCTGATATAGGATCATTTTGCACATACTGATAGTTGAAATTTACCATATTTTTATTGAATATCCTGAATGTAGATATAAATGCATCAAGATTATATCTTGTGAAACTTGATTTCAGTGTGCAACAAAAGCTTGAGTCATGTCAGTCAAATTTATTATGTTACAGTATGTTTGATATCAGAAATGATAAGAATGTGTAAAATTTGCCATTTAATTTACTGATAGGATTATAAAATATCATACTGTCTGTCACAAACATCCATTTCCCAATCAGTGAAACTCATCCTTCAGTAATTATTTTTAAATCTTATCATATTAGGTTATTATAATATTCATCTAAATATGGAAACCGTTTCTTTAAACCCAATATGCTGTATGAGAACCTGTTTTAAAACTAAAAATGGTACACCAAGACAGCCTTCTATATCTTCTAGCACGAGGGGCCAGCTTACAATCGATAAATCTATTTTTACTAATCCTGAACATAGTCTTGACGGATTAGAGGAATTTGCCTATGTATGGGTGCTTTTTTCTTTTCATTTGAATCAAAACAAGGGCGTTAAAGCGAAAGTGAGACCGCCAAGACTTGATGGTGCCAAACGTGGTGTGTTTGCTACAAGAAGTCCACACAGGCCAAACCCAATAGGGTTGACACTAGCAAAGCTTGAAAAGGTAAATGGTTCTACATTGACTTTATCAGGGTTGGACATTGTAGATGGAACACCAATATTGGACATTAAGCCTTACATAAAACAATACGACTTTCCATCTGAAACTGACAGTGAAACTGAGTCTGATAATAGTAATGTTGAAACTTGTGTGAAGTCTGACCAAGCAACAAGAAAGCGGGATAACACTGAAAAAGTGGAGAGCTCCGAATCCAATGAACCAAGTTCGATGAAAAGTACACTACCTGATCTTATCGTTGTATTCACATGCAGAGCAGAGGCTGACCTTTCGATATATAGCAAAGGAAATAAACTTGATGTAACTTCTGAATATAGGTTGGAGCATATTAGCAATGCAGAAGATCTGAGATCGTCAATAGAGGATATTTTGAAAGCAGATCCCAGATCAACCTATCGCAGAAATAAGTGCTGTGATAGGTGAGATGATTGCTATTCTAAATAAAATTTCTTAATCAATCGAACCTTTGGGTTGATAGGTCTTTTTATGTGCTGAATTTGAGCACAAATTATATCATTCAACCAATTCCAGCAATTCGATTTACATTGATATGTTGCCACACTCAACCTATCATCTGTGTGGTGTCACATTTACCTTAAAATAGACATTCTGCTGTGAAAAATCATAAATGAATGGCGGTTTGAATGCATGCCCACTACATTTTTTTATTTGATGTACAGTGATTTTAGCTTCTTGCAAATCAAATTATATTTTTGTTATTCAATATCATGTTACAAACTTAGTTCCAATCAGATGGTTTTTATTACAAGTTTAAAAACAATATCCTTACCCAAACTTTGCAACATATATTTTTTATTGATCTAGAGTTACAATGTATTGAAAATCATGTGAAATATGTTTTATTTTCCAGATTATATTATTTTCTGATTGATAACTGTCATGTGACTGCTTGGTTCGACTACTCTACATTTCCAAACACTGCTGAAGTTTTGCGGGTGAAACCAGAGAGTAAGATCGTGTCAAGTTCATAGAACAACATTGTTACAAAAAATATACAACAGAAAACTATTCATGTATGAAGTACATTTCGATGTCGATCTGTACAATGTAAGATCTTCCACCCTACTGTGTATGTAATTCAAGAGTCCAACTATCACAAATGCATTTCTGTGGAGATTCCGTCTGGCCAAAGTCAGGCCTCCTCTCCATTGTCATGCAAAATATATCAAATATGTTTTAAATCGGGGCTTGTCAAACTGGAGCTCCCGAGCCCTCTGTGTGGGTCGCGAGAACGCGCAACGGGGTTAGCGGTAAAATCTTTTTCGACACTGACTTGGAAGAATTGGAACCAGTACTGAGACTCGCCATTACTGAAATAGAGCCGATATGCGCTCTTTTGTGCGAGAATATGCAAGCTCATTGGGATTGTGGCTTTTGTTATTTTCTGTATTAACAGATTTTAAATACTCAAGGCCGCGAAAAAATTCGAGTGCGTTTCGATGATCGAAGTTTTAATAACACTGTTCTGAATAATCAATCAAAATTAGTGTATAACAATCTGTTGATTACATAAAAGCCACCTCATGGTGCTAGACAAAAGCCCAATCAGATCACTGTCAAGCGGAGAGGAAAAGAATCGCATTATATATAGAAAAATAAATTGCATTTCAGTTATGGAATTAGGCCTGCGGTGGGTTTCATAAGTGTTATCCTGATCGGGATTGCGTTCAATTATTAAAACTGTGCTCTTATCGCTTCACTCAGTGAGTGATAGTTCAATAAGTCTGTGTTTAGTGACCATTCGTTAGCGAGTGAGAGAGAGATTTTATTTTTTTTGTCAACCAAAATAAAATAACAGTCATCGTAATAATGACGACCTGGTGCAGTGCAACGATACGTCGTGCAAAAGCGGCTATCCAGACGCATTTCTCACAATTTCTTCGGCCTGAAAAAAACTAAGTTAAGTTTCTCTTCTAACTTCCTATTATTCCATGTTCTCAAGTCCTTGAATACCTATATGAATAATATGCGGATACTTTTGTTGTTTCAGTAAAATTTTATTGTTGGTTTTCAAACACATCAATTTAGACTTTCTTAGAATTATCAACCGTCATAACTTTTTTTCACGGGATATAATTGGGTTGGGCTAAATAGCCCCAAGCCATTTCCTAAAGACTAGAGTTTCACATTTGATTGGGACATTTTCATGCATTGGTAATTAGTATAAAAGCTATCCTATATTCACTGAGTAATACCCCTAATTCACCTCCTCACTCAAAACCTAGGCGCGCAGCCAGGATTTTTAAAAGGGGAGAGGGTTTAAAACCGGAAATTCCCATTCCCTTATGAAACAGTCGCCGCGATTACGCGCTCGTTAAAATAGACCTCTTTTTTTTACCGATTTTTCTGTCACGTAAAATATTCAATTCATCACAGCTACCATAATCTAAAATTTCCTTCTATATTAATTAAATTGTGTACAACGTAACTCGTGGTTTCGTCTTCTTTTGTCAAAATAAAAACATTACAACTCTGAAATACCACGTCAATCTGTTGCCATAGAAATATGAGATGAACTGCCTTAGTGTATTTAGTTTTGATACTTATTTTTGCGATCTTGCGAATTCGTTATCGCCGTTAGAAAAATCTCAAGATCTGATATAAAATCACGTAGAGTACAATTTAATTTAGTACACAGAAAGAGCGAGAGTTAATTCCATCTTGTCAAACCAAGAAAACAATAAATGCATACATATATATATAAATATCAAATAAAAAGATGTTTTCGGTACATGACTGGGAGGCAACGATACGACCTTTGAAAGTCTTCAGGGTCAGTTGTCATTCAATTAAATGAGCATAAAAATAACAGGTTCGGTGTCTATATATCAAAGACTAGAGTTTCACATTTGATTGGGACATTTTCATGCATTGGTAATTAGTATAAAAGCTATCCTATATTCACTGAGTAATACCCCTAATTCACCTCCTCACTCAAAACCTAGGCGCGCAGCCAGGATTTTTAAAAGGGGAGAGGGTTTAAAACCGGAAATTCCCATTCCCTTATGAAACAGTCGCCGCGATTACGCGCTCGTTAAAATAGACCTCTTTTTTTTACCGATTTTTCTGTCACGTAAAATATTCAATTCATCACAGCTACGATAATCTAAAATTTCCTTCTATATTAATTAAATTGTGTACAACGTAACTCGTGGTTTCGTCTTCTTTTGTCAAAATAAAAACATTACAACTCTGAAATACCACGTCAATCTGTTGCCATAGAAATATGAGATGAACTGCCTTAGTGTATTTAGTTTTGATACTTATTTTTGCGATCTTGCGAATTCGTTATCGCCGTTAGAAAAATCTCAAGATCTGATATAAAATCACGTAGAGTACAATTTAATTTAGTACACAGAAAGAGCGAGAGTTAATTCCATCTTGTCAAACCAAGAAAACAATAAATGCATACATATATATATAAATATCAAATAAAAAGATGTTTTCGGTACATGACTGGGAGGCAACGATACGACCTTTGAAAGTCTTCAGGGTCAGTTGTCATTCAATTAAATGAGCATAAAAATAACAGGTTCGGTGTCTATATATCAAAGACTAGAGTTTCACATTTGATTGGGACATTTTCATGCATTGGTAATTAGTATAAAAGCTATCCTATATTCACTGAGTAATACCCCTAATTCACCTCCTCACTCAAAACCTAGGCGCGCAGCCAGGATTTTTAAAAGGGGAGAGGGTTTAAAACCGGAAATTCCCATTCCCTTATGAAACAGTCGCCGCGATTACGCGCTCGTTAAAATAGACCTCTTTTTTTTACCGATTTTTCTGTCACGTAAAATATTCAATTCATCACAGCTACGATAATCTAAAATTTCCTTCTATATTAATTAAATTGTGTACAACGTAACTCGTGGTTTCGTCTTCTTTTGTCAAAATAAAAACATTACAACTCTGAAATACCACGTCAATCTGTTGCCATAGAAATATGAGATGAACTGCCTTAGTGTATTTAGTTTTGATACTTATTTTTGCGATCTTGCGAATTCGTTATCGCCGTTAGAAAAATCTCAAGATCTGATATAAAATCACGTAGAGTACAATTTAATTTAGTACACAGAAAGAGCGAGAGTTAATTCCATCTTGTCAAACCAAGAAAACAATAAATGCATACATATATATATAAATATCAAATAAAAAGATGTTTTCGGTACATGACTGGGAGGCAACGATACGACCTTTGAAAGTCTTCAGGGTCAGTTGTCATTCAATTAAATGAGCATAAAAATAACAGGTTCGGTGTCTATATATCAAAGACTAGAGTTTCACATTTGATTGGGACATTTTCATGCATTGGTAATTAGTATAAAAGCTATCCTATATTCACTGAGTAATACCCCTAATTCACCTCCTCACTCAAAACCTAGGCGCGCAGCCAGGATTTTTAAAAGGGGAGAGGGTTTAAAACCGGAAATTCCCATTCCCTTATGAAACAGTCGCCGCGATTACGCGCTCGTTAAAATAGACCTCTTTTTTTTACCGATTTTTCTGTCACGTAAAATATTCAATTCATCACAGCTACGATAATCTAAAATTTCCTTCTATATTAATTAAATTGTGTACAACGTAACTCGTGGTTTCGTCTTCTTTTGTCAAAATAAAAACATTACAACTCTGAAATACCACGTCAATCTGTTGCCATAGAAATATGAGATGAACTGCCTTAGTGTATTTAGTTTTGATACTTATTTTTGCGATCTTGCGAATTCGTTATCGCCGTTAGAAAAGATCTGATATAAAATCACGTAGAGTACAATTTAATTTAGTACACAGAAAGAGCGAGAGTTAATTCCATCTTGTCAAACCAAGAAAACAATAAATGCATACATATATATATAAATATCAAATAAAAAGATGTTTTCGGTACATGACTGGGAGGCAACGATACGACCTTTGAAAGTCTTCAGGGTCAGTTGTCATTCAATTAAATGAGCATAAAAATAACAGGTTCGGTGTCTATATATCAATACCTCTCATGTTTGTTTACAATATTTACATGTTTATTTTATTTTCGAAGCGAAAGTATGGTATACGCTCTTTCAACTAACCGAATTTGACACATATTGAATTTCGAAAATATAAAAATACAATTAAATACATATTAAGTATATTAGTGAAATCCCCGTGGAACGACTTTTTCTACGAATAATGATGATTTTTGAATATTCAAAAATATTTGCTTTATTGATTTAATTGTTTGCAATTTGACCTGTGGTTGCGTACTTGCGTTGGCAAAATAAAAGCACTACTACCCTAAAATACCACGGCAATACACGGACATAAAAATGTGTGGTAAATTACCCCATTATATCTTCTTTTGATAGATATTTTTGCAATCTGGACAAATCTGAGCTGTATACTTACAACACTGACTCCGCTCTATCGCAATGCTGCCTCTCAAAATTATTGTCAAGGTAAAACAGTTTTTGATAAAGTATACAAAGCTTATTTATAGATAGGTGTAGTTAGTGACATATAATGTGATGCACTTAAACAGCCGAAGTTTTGTTAATTTCTTAAATACCAAACACCATTTACATAATAATTTTTGCATTTCACTAATATTGCAATTTACTATATTATGTACGACTATCCAAATCATTTTTGAACAAAGTTTTGATAAAGAAAGAGTAATACATAAACTAAAAATGACTTCGAAATAAAATTTACAATACCACAGAATAAACTCAATGTTTTTATATTACATATGTCGTGACCGGTATGTTAGTCGTTGGTCGTGACGTTCGGCATCTCTTGTGTGCCACCAGCTTATTAATATCAGGCCGAAATGAATTTACAGTACCAACTCTAATTAACGAGGTCACATGATCATCGGTTAATCTGGATTGTTAAGAATGTTTGATTAATTCAGTAATGCAAAAAGATTACGTTCATAATTTCATGTATAGATCAGTAAACAAACAAATGCGTGACTTTTCGGTTTTCTTTTAATTCCTGAAGTGTTTTTTTCAAGTATTCTTTTGCTAGCTTGAGGTGTATCCATAATTGGGTCAAATTAAAAACAAAAAAGCGTTATTAAGCGTTCGAGGACCGCATTAGAGGTTCTCTGGGGCCGCATGCGGCCCGCGAGTTTGACACCCCTGGCCTAAATAACACCTTACGCTGACGAAACCAATCGGCGATTTTAGCCTGGATTGGCCACTGCCTAAACCTATCCCTATTTTTCCACTTAATTAATGTCATTTACTTCTGGCCTCGAACATAATTCAACAAATGACATGCTCAGAGCCAACATTTTCAGCGTTATGGACCATTTTTCATAATGTTTCTCGCATGCCGAAATCGCACTGAATTTGTCGGATGGTGTTAACATATTTATCCCGGTAAGGGAAAGCCGATAATACGACTTATTACATGACGAACCACAGCGGTCGTCCGGTCAGGGAATAGTTATCCTATCCTATCGACAGCGAAAAGTCCAGCTCGCTCATAATTACCCCCATCAATATGCGATGACAAGCATGTCCTGACGCTCAGAACGGTGCGCCAATCGTCAGTATAACAATTTCATTGTTATTTCGCTTTTATTTTATTATACCTTCAAGGCACACGAATGAATTATCTTTTTGTAGGCAAGATACCACTATACCAGCTCAAACGCTTGCTCATTTGGAAAACCAAGGTTTTGGCCGCCAACGCCATTACAACAAACTGTGGGTCTAGTCGGATTAACGTAAAGTCCTCTATGTCAAACGTATTTACTGACATCTTAATAACATGGTCGATGTATAGCTATTTTGAAAGCCTATTGATGCAACTAATACTGTTGCAGTCTGGAACTGATCCAAAAGTCTTGATTCTATACTACTATTTAAAAAACGGTTTATTCACAAGTGCATTCAATTACAATATAATCCTTTAGTAAAGATGAAATAAAAGTGACACATATACACTACCAACTCAATTCTTGAAAAATACAGTACATCGTTGGGTTTGTACCGCAACAATTAAATTTACCGGAAGAAAGCCAACAAAAAACAGACAGACAAGTCCACCAAGCAGTTATTATGACCTTTACGTCTTTTGAATGGCATATCCATGTAAAAAGGCATTACAGCTACCACAACCCTGTATGGTTAAGGCTTAATAGTAGTATTTGAAGAAGAGATGTATTGCAAAATATAGGGAGTTTGAAATGAAACATATTTCAGAACATTCAGGCAGTTTAGAGATATCATATGCCTACCTCAAAATGACAGAAAGCTCTATTCCAGACAGATTAGCGAGTGAAAGAGATTATGTACATGTTCGCTAACTGTTTGAAAACATCTCATCAATTCCTTACTATTTGCAGTCTGCCCGAATGAACAACAGCCACTCTACACCTCTATAGAACAGCAATTTGTCTTGTTCAAAGATGGCAATTTTACAAATCCAGATAAGTTTGTAAATAGTGAAAAAGTCTGCAATCAGTCTCTTTTAAGATTATTTAATCTTGCTTCCAAATCTGCATCCACGTCATCAGCTTGGCTGTTGGAAGGCCCTCCCGCACTTACAGCAGTTGGTTTGTTTTGTTCAGCTTTAGGCATCACAAGCGCTCCATCTGCTGATGGCAACCCTGTGAGTTCATCTGCAAGCTGCAAGCCCAACTCATCCAAGACTTGCGCCACAATTTGATCACTGAAAGCAAAAAATCATTTTATCCTAAACTCAACATTTGAATATGCTTTTCAATTGCGGGGAATGCCATATTTACGCCTGTTGCTCATATCAATTCACAATTGTTATAACATGGTACAACGTAATACTGTCGTACTTGACTCTTGAGTTAAAAAAAATTCTCAGAGCTGAAGCTATTTAAGAGGGGATAAGTTTCATACTAAAACAAATAAAGCATGCAGCTATTTCTCAGCGAATTAAAAATTTATATTGAGCTTGATTTTGCTTAAAATCACCGATGATAAAAAATGGAATAATTGTACTAAACTATTGTATAGAATTTCATACTAGGACATGGTCACATTCATAACAGATTTAAAATAATAATTTTGAATGATTGCTTTTGCTAAATCCTGACTTTGAAGTTTCAGTACAGTTCAATTTGAAATAGTAGTTATATGATTAATTGACGCTCCAGAAGTTCGTGTACCAATAAGAAGGTAACTAATTTTATTCACCTACTTTACATCAAGTTGTGTAAAGAGACAGAAGCCTATGGATAGGGGGTATATTCACTTGACTAACACAGACAGTCCCCAAACTCGTAATAGAACTAAAAAAAGGAAAATCGGAATAAAATTATGGCCTAACCCTAACCTGGTACACATACTACGGGAGTACCGATTAATCTGTATAAACAATTTTGTCACTTTATGAAATGTATTAACCACATAATATAGGCAACTATGCACCGATTAATCTCTGTATAAACAATTTTGTCACTTTATGAAATGTATTAACCACATAATATAGGCAACTATGCAATACCTTTCTTCATCATCATCAGCATCCCCCATTGCATCATCGATTGCATCTTCCATCATTTCTCCCTTCATGTCCATCATTTCACTTTGCTTTTCAAATTCTTGCATTATTTTTTGCATTTGTGGTAATTTCATCTGTTTGTTCATTCTCATCATTGCCTGTCAAAATATTCAATAATAAAGTACCACAATTCGAAGCAACATGTTTCCATATAAAGGTGCTTTGTCTTATCAGGGGTAAAAATTATTTAGCTTGATTAATTTGCAATCTTAAATTAGAAGCAACCATCTTCTGCAATATAACCATGTCAGGTTCAATATGAACAAAGAATATCACAGATTTTCAAACAACTTAAAAAAAGGCTTTTTAGCACCAAATCAGAAGTTCTCACGAGGTGTCTTTTCTCACATTTCCCGAGAAGCTAACATAATTTATGACGATTCCACCAGTCTTGGTTCAAATTTGTGCTATGTAACAATAATGGATGGATATTGTATAAATTAGAGGTTTTCGAACGAGGTCTCGCGACACCCTCGGGTTCCGTCAGTACAGTCCGGTTGTACCGCAAGTGTCTATACAGATGAGAGTCTATATTACTATATGTAACGTATATACTAGTATAATATTCAAATAGGTTTGGCAATTGGCACTATTATTAACTTGCTACAATTTGAATAACTTTGTTTTGCCAGTATTAGTTTTATGTTTATATTTATTTATAGCTTATACAATTCAGACAATAAAAGTCATTTGAACTATTACACAGGGGTTTCTCGAGCCTCTGAAATGTTTCCTTGGGGTTACGAATACGATTCACCAAAAAGGTTACAAACCACTGATGCAGTATCTTAAACTAGTAACAACTGAAACCTCATTCACAGTTAAAATATTTGCAACTTAATTTAAATGAGGAAGCACTGACCAATTGTGGTTTGTCGTATTGCCTAATTCCATAGCATCACGGCTTCTACCATTGAGAAACCATTTAAAAATACATTGTTTAATATTTATTTTCTTTGGCCAGTATGCCATACGATAGTTAACTTTAAGCAGTTTTTAAAACAAAAATACACCAACCACAGAATATACTTATATGAATATTAATTAGCTCAAGCGTTATTGCCACATAACCAGTTCATAATCTAATGAAATAAATGGTATGAATGAATTCTCACTTTTGTTACTCCTTTCATTGCATCCGCCATGGTGGACTGACTTTTGAGTGTTGTTAGTTTTAGGGAAACTGCCTGAATATTAGCCCGCATCATTATAAATTTTTTGACGTACCGTTTTGTCCTGACAAGATCTTTGGCCATGACTTTGACAGCGTCCTAAAAACATAAAAAATGAAATTTAGTACTACAATAAGATTTTCTCCGTGCAAGCTTGCTTAAAGTACATTCCTAATGTATCAGAGACAAGATTCATGATTGAAGACTTGCGTGACGACCAACAGACTAAGAACTACACATAAGTTATCTCTAAGATACATTATGTTAGTATGTTACTGAAATATACTTGTTCGATTGCAATTAGTAAGAGAGTAAAATTTTTAGCTTTTAGTTCCAACACTTCGACAGAATATATTCAATAAAAATATTAATCGTTCATACCATTTGCCCTTGTTTGGCCATTTTCTTAATGTCAGCAATAACTTTCTTTTCCTGTTGTTCCATTTTTGCCCTTTCCCTATCTAAATCTCTCATAGCCCGATTCAATAACCTTTGATTCTCTCGAAGCATCTCATTTACAGTTTTCTTCTTCCCAAATAACCACTCCATGGTGAAGTAAATGTTTGGCTTAATAAGAGTATATAATAAAGAATACTGTAATAAAAAATTTCAGGCCTGATTTAGTGAAGAAATGCTATATGGCTCACACAGAAATGCAGTTGAAAATATGTACCTTTTATGGCTCTCTTGAACAAAAAAGTTCCCGACCCCTGACCTAGTGGATTTGTGATACAACCATCATCTGTCAGTTAAGAACATAAAGGCCGACAAAAAAGTGAACAGGCAAAAATTCATAAATATCTGTCACGGCACTATTTTTGTGGCCAACCATCAATTGAAGACAGCGGAAAACAAACTTTACTTTACATAATTTCACCAATAAATGGCAATTAGAATGTTTCTTGAAATTACAATTATATGTATGTACTGATTTAAGATACCAATATGGTGTAGTGGAATATAGTGGGCTAATAGATACACCAATTATTTACTGACTGACAAAAGCAGGTTATACCATACAGCCATATATTGTGGTATAAAATACTTATCAAATCCACAATCTCAAAAGACAGAAAGAGGGAGTATAAGTCTCGCTGCGGGCATTTGATTTTTGTTTGTGGCAACAGTGGCATATTTGAGATATCGATATATATTTATTGAAATCAGATATGATTATGAATGATGATAATACAAGGTAATCATTTGGACCAGGGCTACTCAACTATTTTTACCGAAGGTCCGCATACAAGACTTTGAAAATATTTGGGTTCGAACTTTCGAGAGATTATATTTCGGCATCCTTAAACACGCAATTCCTCGGCCGACTAATGATTACAGGATTATTAGATAATCAAGATTGTTTGTTATGGCCTCATAATTTTTTTCATATATATTTCTAAATCTATAAAAGTGATTCTATAAAAGGAAAATTCAAAGGTGTGGCTAATGATTCAAAATAAAGAATTATGCGCGGTCCGAATCGAACACCTGAAAGGTCCGATTTGGGACCGCGGTCCGCCAGTTGAGTAGCCCTGTTTTATACAGACCATTAATTCTCAACCTTTTTTAACGCACAAGCCAAATTTCAATCCTAAAATTTGTAAGGAGTCGCATACAAAACAATGCAAATTGAAATAGCAACAAAACTGCATTTAGGAAAATCACTACTGCACTATCAAAATTCAGGGCAAAACGTTCAAACTTGACCTTGACTTCCAATTCTGAAGTCTGAAAAACCCAGGCGCAATCATGATGGAGACTCGTCAGAAATATATATATATAATAATAGCTAGCTTTATATTTTCACAATGATATCTATTTCCATTTGTAGATAATTCTCTTTCCAATCACATTGAAACGCCATGATTATATTTATAAAGAGTGCAGGTTTTTTTTAAAGGTTCATCTGACAATTTGTCTATCCTCAGATCCTGCTTGCAAATACTGGAAACAAGAAAAGCAGTGTACTAAAACGTTGGCTAAACATTGTCTGATTGTGGAAAAAAACTCTGACATCATAATAAAGAGTTGCACTCAAAAGATCTAACAGCTAGGCCTACAATGACATCAATATAACTACTGCACTTCAGTCTTTAAATTTCAATTCATTGATTATTTTCAATGAAAAATTATCACTGAAATTATTACATAACCGTACATCAGTACATTGATTAACATTATTTTTTGGTCTGGTACGGTACCGGTACCATCGGTAGTGTAAAAAAGCATCTTCAGAATTTCTAATGCTGTAATGACTGAATGAAATAACGAATTAGGGCAAAACACCGCGCGCCCAGTATGAAACGCAAACTAATAGCGAACAGGAGTGACTTGATTCTTCAGATATCCACTACTTGACTATTCTCGTTCCAGACCTAGAAATTGCTCTCGGTTTGTATCATTTGTTCCTTAGTTAGTCATCACAGCATTACGTCATGTTACGTTCTGACGCTGCTCACATGAGATATCGCGTGCGTCACGTGAGACTGAATCTATCACGCAGCCATGAATAAAATTGGACCCTACGTAAACGCACCTTCAGTCGAAACGGTCCGATCACCGTCGCCGTGCGCCTTTTCACATCGTATCGCGGAAGCGTTTGCTTTTAATTAAAAGTAACTATCGACAGCGCCAAAGAATGACAAGCAGCTTAGCATGAAGTTTCCAGAGGATGCTGCATTTTTATCCATTGGACACGAAATGCACATACCGTAAATGCTCGTTTTAACGCCCGGTCTTGATTAGGGGCCCGTTTGAATAGCCGCCCGTGTGAACAGGACATTAAAATAAATAAGGGCCGGTGCTCGAATACCCGCCAGGTGTAAATTTTTTTTTTTTGCGGATTTGTACCTGCGGTGTGTAGAAAAAGTCAAAAATTTCAGTATTCTCGTTTAAATCATACTTGAGAACTGGAAATGACAATATACGATATTAATTATTGTAACGATCGATCTTATCTACCGGTATTTTTGTGTGTAATTTTACTTTTAAAATAACAAGCGCATCTGCTTGAATAAGGGCCGGTTTGAATAAGGGCCCGGTTAGTGAGTATGTTTAAAAAAATAAGCGCCCGGGCTATTAAACGAGCAAATACGGTATGCATCGTTTTTTGTTGTTGTTGATCATTTTGTTTGTATTTTTCATCTTTGTTTTCTTGTGAAAAAAACACTCTTTTTATTAACTATTGGACCAAATTAAATCAAGTCAAGTTTATTTTTGCAACCAGTAAAAATTAACCATATAGAGGACTTGCACGGGTCACGTGATTTTGTATACTGGACAGCAAAAAACAAAAACGTCCAGCTGGCTCTTGTCAGTTGCAAGTTGGATTATACTTTTCCGTTTTGCTTGGCTGGTTGAAAATGGTTATTTCGTATTGTGCCGTTGGCTGTGCATATAGTATAGACAACGAAATGGATCTTCAGTTATATTCCACTGTTTTCAAAAGATTCGGAACGTCGCGCAACGTGGATATCATCTATTGGCAAGACTGCTTGGAGTCAAGTCCAGAAGTCATCTCGCTTGTGTTTCACTGTTTGCGGACAGCACTTCGTAGATGAAGAGTGATAATGTGCCGTTATCAATTTCTTTAAGTATTCATAAGCTCCCTCATTTCAATGGAAAGCGGATAACAAACTACTGTTATTCGTAGGCTAGGCGTAGGCCTACTTGCTTGTCTACTTGCAGGCTTGACTTGTGTAAGGAATTAATCATCAATTGCTATATGGTAGTGTTTCCCTAATTAGCAGGTAATCTATTACGAAGTGTGAAAGGTTGAATAGATAACTAAAGTTCAACATCAGTGGTCATGCAAAAAATAACCAGAATTCAATTGAATTCGCCATCTAGGAATACGCTCGCCACCGCATCTCTGATTACCCTGGTAGTTCACAGGATCCTATCCCATGCAGGGATAGTTATGTGCGAGAGGATTGCAGCTCTACTCCCACCGAGGGTGGTTAACATGCCCGCTGATCGGCTACGACCATCCCCCACCATCCAAGTCCATGCTTCTAAAAACAAATAACTGGCTCCTCTCAGATAAATCCTATCCTAAAGGTGCTTGTACAACTGACCCAAAATGTCGTTTTATTGTCATTGGTAAAAAAGATATGCTACCCGGAATCAAATTCATTTACGACTAGTGTTTGTGGTGAGATATGGACATAAGTTTCACACCATTTGATCGTTAGATTTTATGAAAATTCTACAATTATTACAAAGCTAGTGCAGGATCATGATATCGAATAAATCTGTATCCTTTATCTTACAAGTATGGGTGCGACCATGGAATAGATCAGGGGTCACCAAACTACGGCCCGCGGGCCGGATCCGGCCCGCGACGTCATTTTATCCGGCCCGCAATAACACGCAAATATGGCTAAATTTTTTTCAAAGGGAGATTTTCCCGATCATCGTCTTCCTTGTTTCGTAACATTGGCCGATCAGCAAGTTGCAAAACAAGTGACGTAATAATAGGCCTTTTCGCATCCGCTCAGACACTTTGTCACCTTGACAGATTTTCAGTCGTGGTTGTAAACAATATTTCGTTTTTGCGACTTTGAATGCTATTCGATAGTTTTAGGTTGCGTATCGGAAATTTAAGTATGAATCAATTAAGTCAATTATCATTTGCCTCCTTAGGAGTTGTAGTTTTAATAGTAGTAATGAAAAATTAGTCTAAAAATATAGCAGTGACAAAATAGGCTAAATTCTTTACCGGTACGCAACGTTTTCTGCGAAAGATGTACTTGTACACTCGTGGCGCGTGCTTTCTACGAAACAGTTCACGTTTTTTGTGCTAAAATAAACGTCCAATGTGCATTTTGCGCTAGCAGTACTGTAATTCCTCGCGTACTGCTCCAATTTCACAAGTCACACTAACTTTTGTCTAAATGCGGATATTCATGTAGGTATGTTTCCAAAAAATTGAAGTTCATCCGATTTAAATAAAAACTGCGCCAGTGGATAGATCTGAGTGAAAATAGAAAACAATACCAAGTTTATAAAAAACGGTCAAGAAATAACGGAGATTTCGGAATTTTTGTACCGCCCGACAGGCCACTTTTTTCCATAATAATTGTAATATTTTTTTGGTAAGAACTCTAATAAATATGAAAAAGAACACATATCAATCACTAATCTTTCCATGTCCGTCCCATATATGATTGAGACTATTTCAGGATTTTATTTTGGCAAGGGTCATTGACACCGCCGAAAGATCGTCTCAAATAAACGCTAAAGTTGTGCATGATCGTTTGACGGTGGTTCATTATGGGTAATAATCAACGATGCTCTGATTGTACAAACTTCTTAAAAATTGGTAAGTATCAAGTTAGGAAAGAAATACATACGTCCATATAAATTTATTGGTGTCCATAGAAAATATCATTAATTTGCACTACGTATAACTGGAATTCTTTTTCATGTTGTTATTGTTGTTTTAATTACTAGAACAATTGCTTCGCCATTTCAGTAGATAATGAACCGTATACTACCAAAGATACTTCTTGTGGGCGCGGTGTTACAATTTGCATATTTTAGCCCCA